TTTCTGAAAATTATCGTTATATGGGAGGTAGGCGTGGTTATTGTCCGATATTGTTTTTGTCCTACGCCCGAAAGAAGTACATGTACCAAGTTTCGTTAAGATATCTTAATTTTTACTCGAGTTATCGTGTGCACAGACGGACGGACGGTCGGACGGACAGACAGTCACCGCTTAATCGATTTCTCTTTTCATCCTGATCATTTATGTATACATTTGTCTATATCTATCTCGATTCGTTTTGCCTGTTACAAACAACCGTTATGTGAACAAAGTTATAATACCCTGTGCACAAGTGCGCTCGGGTATAAAAACACCATGCACTCACTTTTGATTGCCAGTCTATGCATGTACATATGTGTGTAAACTTTATGCCAAACTATCACTATTTTAAATTGTATTTGCATCTTCATAAAAGGAGAAGAAGATAAAAAATTTTACAAAAATTACAACAGAATTTCTACATTCCGACTTGAACTTTTCTAACGCTGTTAATTTTTCGTCCGCGAATAGTTTCCACTTTCAGTTTGCACCTTCTCTATCTATCTAAGTTCTCTGACATGGACAACAGCATCGGCACATGTTACATATGTACATTTGTTTAAACGTACATACGAACTGGTACACCTCGTTGCTGTGATCACGCCACTTGCTGCGGGATTTTCTCTTAAACCTTTTTGCGTGCTTCTGCTAAATTTCGGTGATTGAATCTTGTCACATTTCATCAACTTATCAAAAAAAAGATTTTTTTTTCTGGGTTTCAGCATGTCGACTGATGAGGATCTTTCTGCACTTAAACAACAGCGCAGTACTATGAAGCGCAACATCACTAATTTGAGGTCAAAAATTGAAAAAGAAAGTGCCTCTTCTGACTCCACAATTTTGGCAAGAACGATAGAATACAAGATTGCGCATTCCCGCAGAATGACATTTGTGGAATGACAATATGGCGAAGAACAATGAGTTGTGAATTTGCAGTGAGAAAACGTGTTTTCTTCTCGATTCACCAATTTCTCAAGCCATCTTTGAATATAGCAAATAAAGCACTACGTTAACAAAAAATATACAACCACTCTTGAAATGTGTTCAAAAGAATAGGCCTTATTAATTAACTATTTAGAATTTTTGTGTTTTTATTGCAGGTGCCGAAAAAGTGATAATATCTTGTCGCAGCGCATGTTTTCCTGCAGAAAGTGGTCGACGCTTGCTTACCTCCGATTTTAATTTGTAATTTGTGGTATTTGAACGTTTTCAACTTAACATGTCGTGTTTAAAAGTGGTCCGTAAAGTGCTTCATGCATATTACGCTGGTAACTAAATTTTATGGCTTCTCCTGCCGGCAGAACTCTACCCACTTTCTGGCCAAGGCGTCGTCGCGGGGAAACAAAAAAAAACTGCATTTGGGGGCTTTACCCCTACATCTGCTGCAATTCAACACACGACCTGACATTTTTTTTAAGTTTTTATTACAAATAAAACGTTTTTTACTTCAGAACGCACGAATTACTTCGATTTTTCACTTGAAAGTACGCAATACGTTTGCACTTGTTTCTAAACAAAAAGTTTGTTTACGTATTGCCATAAATGTCAAAGTCGGCAAAACCAATGTAGCGGTTTCGGGAATGCGCCACCTTCAGTTCATTTCACCATGCAATTTTGGAATGTCAACTACAAATCTTGGAGTCGTATTTCAAACAAGTGGCCATATTCAGACACTCATCGAAAAGATTTGCGCTACAGACAATGGTCGTGGAGACTTAGAAGAGGTCTTCATTCAACCAAATCTAAATTAGTGGGGTTTTTGCAGAAAGCACGTCGATCAAGTATGCCGGATGTAAGCTACTTCCAAAATACAACCAATCAGCAGCTCACAAGTCATCGCTTGCCCAAACTCCGTTTGCCGAAATTCGACGGCAAGTACACAGAATATTCACGTTTTATGCACACCTTTGAATCGCTTGTGCATGACGACGCTTCGTTGACCACAATTGATAAATTTAATTACTTGATGGACTGTTTGTCGGGACCTGCGCGAGCTGTGGCCGAACCATTTGAGGTTACGGAAAGTAATTATCCACGTGCACTTCAGCGATTAAAGGAACGCTTCGATAACAAAACGCTTATTTTCATACTAATCGATAATGTCGCTTCAATTAAGGGAGCCTTACTCTCATTAGGATCTGAGAAAAATATCATGGAAGCGCTATTAATTAACATAATTCTCACTAAACTAGATGCTGATTCGAAGCGGGCGTACGATGAAAAACAAGATTTCAAGGAGCTTCCATCATTTGAGAGTTGCTATACTCTTCTAAGTCATCGCTGCCAGTTGCTCGAAAGCTGGACTAAACAATCGAATATTGCTGAAGCTAACCATCAAACACGAAACAAGGAAAGGAAAGGGAACCATTAGAGTATTATGAATTAAATACGATCACCTACGGTACCGCATCTGCGCCTTTCTTGGCAATTCGAAGTTTGGTTTTCATTGCTGAGCATTATCGCGATAGCTTCCCGATCGGAGCTGAGATGTTGGAATCGGATTTCTACGTAGATGATTTACTCACGGGGGCTGATAGTGTAGACGACCTGCGTAAGCGAAAACTTGAACTCATCCAGATATTAGAAAAAGCAAAACTTCAACTTTCAAAATGGAACAGCAACTGCACCGATATATTTGAGTGCTCCAATGATGTGAACATTCAATTGATGGAAACCAATTACTGACACGTTTTGCTTCCAATATGATGATAAGCCTCCAGAACATATAACCAAACGATCAATTCTATCTACAACCGCGAAAATATTCGACTTACTTGGATTGTTAAGCCCCGTTGTCATACGATGCAAAATGCTACTGCAGTCTGTATGGATACACGGATTAGGATGGGATGATGAGCTACCAAAACCACTACAAGACACCTGGACAGACATTCGAAAAGACTTGGCGAATATCAATTCAATCACTACTCCAAGGTATGTACTAACATCATTAGCACACAAAGCAGAGGTACATGGGTTTGCGGATGCATCCGAGCGTGCGTATGGATGCTGCATTTATATCCGCAACATTGGTAATGAAGCACATGAGTCGCGCTTACTTGTCGCAAAGTCAAAGGTTGCACCAGTGAAAGCCCAATCACTGCCAAGACTGGAACTGTGCGCGGCACTGCTGTTAGTTCAAACTTGGAAAAAATTTAGAGTCAAGTTGGAACCTTATATTAGCAAGACGTATTTTTGGACCGATTCTACGACCGTTAGATAAAGATGCATTCCACAACCTTAAACTCTTTCGTAGCGAATAGGGTATCTGAAATTCAGTCAGTTTCTGACCTAGTCATCTGGCGTCATGTACCATCGAAATGCAATCCAGCGGACATCATATCCCGCGGTTGCAGTGCTTCCGAGCTACCAAGCACATTTTGGTTCAGTGGACCACAGTTTTTAGCAGATGATATCAGTACGTGGCCTCAGCTTAGCATCGACGTGACTTTGCCGATCGAAGGACAACGAAAACGTATGCCAGCACTTTGTTGCTAAATTAGCATTCAATCTAAAATTGTTTTGGATATTGTAAACCGAAATTCTTCGTTTACACGAATCCTTCATATTATTTCATATATTCATCGTGTACTCAACAACATTCCAACCAATAGGCATTTGTCAACGACGCTTTATATTTTGTAGTTGCAGCCATACAACATGAATGTTTCTCCTCGGAAATTGTTGCTCTTCAAAAAGACAAACCCCTGAATCCATCGCTGCAAAAACTGTCGCCGTTCTTGGGTGAGTTGCAAATCTACAACAAACTCAAAGTGGTAGTCAGATAGGGCGGCCGACTATTGCGTGCTCCAATTCCGGTGGAAGCGAAATTCCCCCTCATGTTACCTAAGGATCATCGCTTTACATGGCTGTATATCCAACATCTGCACTACTCACACCTTCACGCAGGCCCAAAGGTCTTATTGGGGTTACTACGACAACGCATTTGGATCGTGAATGCTCGTGAAGTTGTGCGCAAAGTAGTGCGCAAATGCATACATTGTTTTAAATACCGGCCTAAGTTGTTGCAACAAATTATGGGAAACCTGCCTGCCGACCGCTTGAAGGCACAACTACCGTTCTTGATCTGCGGAGTTGGCTTTTGTGGCCCATTCGCCATCTCCTATCGTATCAGAAGCAAGGTACCGTATAAAACTTACGTTGCAATTTTCATATGTTTTTCTTCTAAAGCAGTGCACATGGAGTTAGTTTCTGACCTTTGCAGTGAAGCCTTCATTGGCTGCCTTAAGCGGTTTTTCAGCCGGCGAGGTATACCAAAGACTATCTATTGCGACAATGCTACCAATTTTGTAGGAGCAGGTAGGTTTTAAGCGAATGTAAAAGGAAGCTGATTATAGAGTACTCGTCAATCAAGGGCATCGATTTCCAGTTCATTCCACCTCGATCTCCTCACTTCGGCGGCCTATGGGAGGCGGCAGTAAAATCTGCCAAGCAGTTGTTCGTGAAGCATTTGTCGCAGGCTCGCTTAACATATGAAGAGCTCTTAACTGTTGTCACCGAGGCAAAAGGAATTCTCAACTCACGTCCATTGGCAGTCATGTCCGATGACCCAAACCTTACGCCATCTCACCTTCTCATTGGAACTTCAATGCAGTCAATACCTGAAGTCGCACCTGACGTCAATAAATTGTCTCACTTGTCAAGATGGCAGCGTATAACGAGTCTGAAACAACAATTTTGGCAACAGTGGCAGCGTGATTACATTCACGAATTACAGCAACGTTCCAAATGGTCGACGCCGCATAGCAATATTCACCTTGGACAACTCGTCATCGTACATGAAGATAATATGCCACCGCATAAGTGGTTATTAGCTCGTGTGGTCAACATTGTACCTGGCGCTGACGGAAAGGTACGCGTAGCGGATGTGAAAATATCTAGGGGAATCCTGCGTCGAGCAATACATAAATTGGCTTCCTTACCATCCAATAATTGAAAGTTCCTTCCAATGGGGGCAGAATGTTGAATCATAATATAGTTTATAACTTGCACTTGTTTTAGTATTTGTAATCTGGCAGCTTTGTTTTTATTCTCTGTAATTTCACCTCATCCTATGTATGCATATGTACTTATTGCTACTGAAATAAATTTACTCACTCGCGATCCAACTCTGGCAAGAGACAGAACTCGAATCTGACAACATTTTTACTTCAATTAAACAGATACTTCCTCCTCTCCTTCTCCTGGCGAGAGGCGTGGAAAACATCGTGTTCAATCCCATCACTGTGGACCTTGATCTTCCGCAGAACCGCCCATTTTTGACNAATCCCATCACTGTGGACCTGGATCTTCCGCAGAACCGCCCACTTTTGACTCCAGCTATGAACAAAGAACTCATAAGCTTTAACACACCGATTCCTCGGCGGACTGAATCTCCCCAACCACGTCCTTCTTCTACTGGAGTCTCACTAAATTCCTGTTCAACACCTTCATCTCAACCCTCCNATCTTCCGCAGAACCGCCCACTTTTGACTCCAGCTATGAACAAAGAACTCATAAGCTTTAACACACCGATTCCTCGGCGGACTGAATCTCCCCAACCACGTCCTTCTTCTACTGGAGCCTCACTAAATTCCTGTTCAACAGCTTCATCTCAACCCTCCACCACATCTGAAGCCATCTCCGATTGCGTCAACACCGTTCCAATGCAAGTAGTCGTTGCTCCTTCCAAAAACTCCACAACTACATCTCAACCCCCTGCCACATCCGGAGCCATCGTTGCTCCTTCCAAAAATTTGACAGCTGTACCGCAACCCCCTACCACATCTGAAACCCGAGGGATTTAACCGTTGTCCCTTACAAAAAATCGGTCTTTGTATCTAGGTGTTCAAAAGATACCTCTGTCGATGATGTGAAGGGGTACTTAACTTCCAGGCTGATAGCAAATGAGTTGCATGTACGCAAGTTCAGATTCTCGTATGAAAGAAGCATTTCTTCTTTTAAAATAGACATATCCGAAGACTGCTTTGATAGAGTAATGAGCCCATCTTTTTGGCCAAGCGGTGCCTTCATTCGCGAATTTGAATTTAGATCTAGACCGCAAGGGCAAAATTTGGCTCAACTTCCGCTTTCCACCTCGGCATCAAAAAACTAATAAGTAACCTCACCATTAGCATTTACTACCAAAATGTGAGAGGTTTGAACACAAAGCTATCAAGGTTACACTTTCAGTCCCACGATTTTGACTTCAAAATACTGGTGTTTATTGAAACCTGGCTCAAGCCGAATGTGTTCAACTCCCAAATTTTGTGTCCTAAGAATGAAGTGTTTCGAAACGACCGTTTAAATAAAAAAGGTGGAGGCGTCTTAATCGCTGTCCAGACTGACCTTTCTTCTGAAGAAATTGAGTTCACTGACACCGATGAAGTTGAATTCCTCTGCGTTCGAATAAGATATCATTCTAATAGCGTTTATCTTGTTGCTGCTTATATACCACCTAAATCGAGACTTTCTGTTTATTTAAAACACTCCTCCTTACTGCTCTCTCTACATGCCATGGTGAAGCCCTCCGATACTGTTATTGTCCTGGGTGACTTCAATCTTGCGGGTGTTTCTTGGGATCTAATAGATGGTATTCTAGTACCAAATTCCTCTCGTGATCTCTTCAATCAATTTTTGAACGATCTTTCAGACCTTAGTCTTTACCAGATCAACTCTATTAGTAAGTTTCCAACGTCACAATAGCCCCTAGTTATTCTTTGATTACACCTGTTGACTCTCACCACCCACCACTAGAATCGTCCTTGATAAATTCATGCAACTCATGTTGCTTTACCAGTAAAAAATCAAGAGCGGAGCGTTACTCATTTAAAACAGCAGATTATAATAAACTTAGGTTAGAGATATCGAAGATAACTTGGCCCCAGTATGATGGGAATGCTGAAGATAGTGCCTTACATTTTAGCAATTCCTTACGCCACATTTTCAGTAAAATCATTCCTCTTGTTAAGGAAGCTAACGTAACGTCTAACGCTCAGTGGTTTACTGGCGAATTGAAACGCTTAAAAAATCAAAAATCCAAAGCATTTAAGCTTTTTAAAAAATCTGGCTTGTCTTCTCACTACTCCGCGTACTCCATTATTAGGCATAAATACAATGTATTGAACAAAACGTGTTACAATAATTATATTAACAGGGT